CTGAATCATCCCAGGTGGCCATCATGACTTTCTTTCTACCAAACTTTTTCTTTGGTCTTTCTCTTTGCAGCTTAGGACAATCACTTCTGTAGTGTCCAGGTCTTTGCATTCATAGCAAACTATATCTCTTCTACTTGACTTCTTATGTTCAGAAGATTTTGGTTTATCTTCTGACCTCTTGTAGTTCCTGAACTTCTTGTCTATGCTTCCACGTCTGGTTGATCCTTCTGGAGAGCAGAGATAACCCATCTTCTTCTGATGCAAAATCTTCAGAGTTTCCTTCTTCTGCCTGAAAAGCGTTAGTTTCAAATTTTTTAATGGATTTAAGAGCTACAGACTTACCTTTCTTCTGAGGCTCATGTTCATCAAGTTCTATCTCGTGACTCCTTAAAGCACTGATAAGTTCTTCAAGGGAAACATCATTCAGATCTTTTGACACTTTGAATGCAGTGACCATAGGTGCCCATCTTCTGGTAAACTTCTGATAATTTTATTAACATAGTCTGCCTTGGTGTATCCTTTGTTCAGAACTCTTAGGCCAGCAATCAGAGTTTGGAATCTCGAGAACATAGCTTCAATAGACTCATTTTCTTCCATTTTAAATGCTTCATACTTCTGAACGAGAGCCAGAGCTTTTATCTCTTTTACTTGAGCATTTTCTTCATGAGTCATCTTGAGGGATTCAAACATGTCATGCGTTGTATCTCTGTTGGTGATTTTCTCATATTCATTTTTAGAGATAACATTCAGAAAGATGTTTCTGGCTCTGTGGTGATTCTTGAAATCTAACTTCTGTTGTTTATCCATGTTCTTTCTGTCAATTTTGTTTCCGTCTTTATCTTCTGAATGAGTGTACCCGTCTAGAACCAAATCCCATAGATCATCATCATGACCTAGAAAGAAACTTTCTAGTCTATCCTTCCAGTATTCAAAGTCTTCTCCATCAAACAGGAGGTTTGGTGCAGTTGTTGTTGTTTTGTTCAGATGCTATAGTGTTTTCCTTCTAGATCTTTTTCTGACACTATTAGGTGTTTGCACTCAGAACTAGAGCTCTGATGCCAATTGAAGGTTGAGAAAATACTTAGAAGGTGGGTTGAATAAGTTTTTCTTTTTCTAGTGCAATACTAATGGAAGGACACTGGTATTTTTATCCTGGTTCATTTGAAACTCAAACTACTCTAGTTCATCCGCCAAGGTGATTTCGCCTCTCTCAACGAGGACTTAATCCACTATAATCAAACTGATTACAAATACACAACCCAACTGGTGTGACTAATAATATAATGCACAAGCCAACTACAAGTGACTAACACCTCTAAGACTCAAACTAGTCCTAGCCCTCTTGAGAAATCTGACCCAACTGGTCTCTCAAGGAACACTTACAAAATTATCTCTTAATAGTAGGGAAACATATTTGCTTCTAAAAAACTTTATCATAACTGTGATTTATCACTAAGATTGTTGCCCAATACTTAAGATCTATCCACTATACAGTATTTAGTTTACAAGTATGAAAACAGTGAGCGTAAGTATATTTCACGTAAGTCAGTAACCTTTATTTGAAACAAAAGGTCTTCTATATATAGATTCCAATTCTTGACCGTTAATGCCTTGATGATAGTGCATGCATTTAACGAAGCGTGTTTACAATGATGTAGTGAGTAGGCTTGGTCTTTATGTTTCCAATGCTCGTGCGCGTAGTACACTTGAGTGTGTTAGCCGTCTTAGCATTTAATAACCAACGGTACTGTCAGAGCTTGTCTCTGGAAGTTAAACTGTTTGCTTGCAGTGTTTCCATTTCAGAGTTTACTTGATCTTTTCTTCTATCAGAGTATTCTTCAATATGTGTTCATCAGAGTTTTTCTTTAATCTTGTATTTATCAGATGTTGTTTTCAGCTTACTTCTATCAGATCTTTGCTTCATCTAGCTTTATCAGAGGTTGCTTAGGATTGCTCTTCATCAGAGTTTACTTTTAGAGTGTTTCCTTCTGAGTTTGATTTATACTTGTGTAGAATGTTGTTTCTTTCTAAGATGCGTGAGTCAGAATATCATCTGAACTTAGAGAGCATACAAGTCAGAGTATAAAATAAATATCACAAAATTTATTTCATTGTTATCATCAAAACTCTAAGATATGATTAGAACCAAATTTTGTTCTAACAACAACTTCTTCAAAACTCAAAGTTTCCTTCCCATATATCAAAACCGGTTTAATATGCTCATAGGAAGATGGAAGAGACCATATGAGTCTCAAAGCTTTATCTTCACCATCAATCTTGACTCCAATAGTTTCTAATTCAGAAACAATACTATTTAGAACACTTAAATGATCAGATACTTTTGTATGCTCATCCACACGCAAGCTATGAAACTGCTCCTTCAACAATAAACGATTTGATATACACTTTCCTTGATATAACTCTTCAAGTTTCTCCCAAAGCGCTTTGGCTGACGACGTACCAAAAACATTCGCAAGAATATTCTTAGCCAAAGACATGCGGATTATACTCGAAGCTCTCAAATCTAATTCCTCCCACTTTTCGTTGCCCATTTTAGAATGTTTTCTTTCAACGCCTTATGTAATCTTAATTGTATCAAAACATCTTGGACTTGAATTTTCCACAAACCAAAATTGACTCTTCCATCAAATTTCTCTAAATCAATTTTCACTGCACTTGGAAAACTTGACATTGCAACCAAAATCTTTCCTGTAACAAACTAAAATTTTCTCAACCAACACAGTATAAAATTTCTTTTCTGATCTGGAAGATCAGACAAAATTGCAACCATAAAACATACTAAAATTGATACCCCACCAAACCAAGGATCTTGATACCACTTGTTAGGAAAAAACAAAACATAGAGAAAAAAGAGGAACAAAATAACAACACAAGAGATTAACGTGGAAACTCCAAAATCGGAGAAAAAACTACGACCGCTGTCAAATGACAACCAGAAAATATCACTATGTGAAAATTGTTACAACACATAGACTATCCTCAAACACCCCAAGGCTCCAATACACCCACACTCTTCAAAGCAAATATTTAACTACCTCTCACTACACTCTAAAACAAGAGTATAAGAGAAAAAAATCAAATACAAACTTAATCCTATATATAGCCTTGGACTCCCTTTTCCTTCACAAAAATAAGCGATGTGAAACTTTGTCAACATGTATATTATATATATATATATATATATATATATATATATATATATATATATATATATATATATATATATATATATATATCAATGGTTACGTTTCTGCCTCTATTTATAGAATTGGTGCCCTACTGATTTCTCCTGACAAGCTTCCTTTCTTCAGCCTTAAGTTTTTACCGGAGAAAAAACCACGACCGTTGTCAAATGACAAATAGAAAATATCACTATGTAAAAATTGTTACAACACATAGATTACCCTCAAACATCCCAAGACTCCAATACACCCACACTCTTCAAAGCAAATATTTAAGTACCTCTCACTACACTCTAAAAAAGTATAAGAGAGAAAAAATCAAATACAAGTTTAATCCTATATATAGCCTTGGACTCCCTCTTTCTTCACAAAAATAAGCGATGTGGAACTTCTTCAACATGTATATTTTCAACCAACCCCAACAATATATATATATATATATATATATATATATATATATATATATATATATATATATATATATATATATATATATATATATATATATATATATATATATATATATATATATATATATATATATATATATATATATATATATATATATATATATATATATATATATATATATATATATATATATATATATATATATATATATATATATATATATATATATATATATATATATATATATATATATATATATATATATAATGGAGGAATAGAGATGAATGCGCATCAACGGTGGTTTCCTGACATTTGATGCGTATTCAGCTCGTATCCTTTGATCTTACTCTCGTACTATCTATTTTATTGCTATATTACTGATTTCAAAACAAGATATTTCAATGGTTATGATTCTGCCTCTATTTATAGAATTGGTGCCCTACTGATTTCGCCTGGCGAGCTCCCTTTCTTCCGCCTTAAATTTTTACCAGCTAAGCCACCCAAACCGTCTTGTCTTTCCTAACGAGCAATAGGCTCACCCGACGAGCTTTCTGTCAGCTCCCTCGATGGACAAGGAAGAAAAGGTTTTGGTTCGGGAGACTTTATGTTTTGCTTGGATTGGTGCTCGCTCGACTTCGTTGGGAGAGCTTCCTCATTGCAGTCTTGCTGGACGAGCATGAAGCTTTTTCTTTTTGTTTCTTCTTGTCTGGGCCTCGCTTCTAGTTTGCTGGGCGAGCTCACCTTTGTCACGATCATGGCGAGCTCAGTTTTCTTTCTCGTTGCTTTCGAAAGATCAGCTTCCTTCCAGGGCCAAAGTATCTATTTCAAAACCTTTACAATCTGCCAAAAGGTGGTTAACACACATATACAACCAAATCTTATAACTAGTTGAGGGTATTTCTTAAAGAATTTGAATTCAAAGTTCAATAATCGCCCATTTAATATGTATGAATCTACTCCTCTTTGGAACTTATCAGAAATGTACCACAACTACATTAAAAAAATGGAAATAAGTTCTCAACAACTACACCAAAAGGAACCATGTTCTCAATTATATAACAGTCTTAAAAGGTAGGTTTTCATCACAAATTCTAAAAGAAAAATATGACAAGATTCTCAACCGAGTTAACTTATTAATACGGAATCCATGGTGCCCTATGAAAACAAGACAGAACATTTTCTCCCCTCTTCAATGCTTTGTTAAAATGACATATTTCAACACTTATTTTACAAAGAATGCTTTTCGTCGCAAAAAAAGATATGAACTACCAAACAATCCCTATCTTGTGCTGTGTTCAAGCTAAACTGGAGCTTTGTATCTGAAAATCAACTTGCAATCGTTAATCGACTCTGCCGCCTCAAGTTTGGATAAATGTCAAGTTATGATCAGTTATTTTTGTACAATCCACGAGGTGTTTCTTTCGCTTGTTTGTGATTGACAAGATTCCCATATTGTGACTCATTTGCAGACTCATTCCTAGTAACTGATTTTGTCCATTCTCCATTTTGCAGAGGTTTCTCATCTAATCAAACGAAAAATAAAGTTGATTCATTCTTCTGTGACGAGTAACCGTACTTATGTGCAAGGATGCGAAGCATAAAATTAAAATTTCTATGAACGGAAAGAAAAATAAATAATTCTTGAAAATGTGAACTAGATACCTTTGGATGTTGTCGAAGAATCTTCGCTAACCACGTTCAATTTAGCTCGCGTGATGCACAGCCATCTTCTTTCTGCTTCATCGTTAAGTTCTGCTTCAATTGGAATATGCCAGTGTCCTTCCTCCGATTCCTGCTACCACAATTGTCATGTTATATTTTCTTCTTACTTTCGTTTACGTCGCAACCACTTCAATTAAAATACAGTACAATAGTTTTCCATTCGTACGATTCTTACCTGAATTACAACAGAACACGGAGGGGGCATGTAAAACTCGGGACCATTATCAGAGAATCCGAACCGTACCTATAAGCATAGTTGTAGATTGTAATCAAAGCTTGTTAATAGCAGAAAATAGCAATTTCTTCAAATTCTGCAATGCTACACCACAATAGCTCCACAATAGTAGTTACTAGTATTTGACCACACTTTGTACTAAATAGCGTATCGCAGAACAATAACAATTTGTTCAAATTTTACTCTGCATGAAAAAATGAACAAAGACCCGATAATAAAATTTTCTTTGCAAAGAGTTCGACTAACCTGATGCCTTTCTTTCCACTTGGGGAAGAAGTCATTTCCGAGAAGTTGAAACAAATGATCTCTCATCTCGTCATTGGTAACAAGTAAGCATTTATATTTTATAGCTGCATATAACCAGTACCTGAAACACATGTTAGTAAATGAAACATGATAATGCTTAATAATCAGTAGAGTTTAATAAAATAAGCTATCAATTAAGAATATGTTCCATTTTGTTCCTACCAATCATCGTTTGATCCAGTCGGTGTCGCATAGAGCCACCTATCAACCAATGCTTTGTTGATTGGTGCATCCCATTTGTTTCCTCTGACACGGTTATGATGCAAAACCATAAGCGGAAATTTCTTTGAAGGGAGTTTTAGGCGCATTTCATTGACAACAGCGTTGATCTAAGACGGAAAAAAAAATCAGAAACACAATAATAATTAAGAACAGCATCAAGAAAAAAACAGTACTTTTCATATTCAGTTACTTACATTGGATGGCATGAACTTCCCTTGGCAGAAAAGACCTACATTTGCAGCATCTATCACTGCTTCAAAAGGTCCATTGTAGTTGAGCCATTTCTGCAATTCATAATTTCACAATTTTTATGTTATCAATATGTAAAAAGTTTCGAAATAATAGTTGTGTCATTTCAACAAAGAAAATCGAAAAACTTTTAAGACAACAAACAATCTAAGTAGTTAACACAATATGAGTAAAGGGTTAACAACTTAATAGATATACCAAGTGTCAAACTCATTAACCACAAATAGGATGTGATTAATCACTTTTTTAAGGTGTTCAAATCGACGAGTCGTTGAACACCTGAAAACTATAGTTAACCGCGTCTAAATTTTTGGTTAACGAATTTCGATAATTGGGACATTCATTAACCATCTGTTTCAGCTATGTTAACTAACCACTTAAAAAAAATCGCGTCTAAATTCGATTGTACGAAAATCATTCACTAGAAATAAAATAATAAGTACTTTTATTGAAGTTTCTTACTTGAAATGTTTGAAAGTTTGAATTTTTCTCCTTACTTATAGCAATGGATGCAACCGACTTTGCGAAATTCTCGGTTTCAACAGGATCAAGATCAATAGTAGCCAATTGCACTCCACAACATTTACACATTCCATCATTTCCAACTCTTGTTTGAAGAACTTGCCATTTCCCCTTACCTAACCAACCTCTCCCATGCCATCCTCCACCATTATTCTTAATTGCTTCCATTATCAACCTTTTATCCCATTTTCTTCTCCCAACTTTCGAAGCCATTCCACTCTTAAACCAATCGACAATCAAATCAGCAGTAGTATTCGAAATTTTCCTAACGCTACTTCTCAGTTTATGCAACACATAGTAAACCCTATCACTCTTACCAGCTCTTACACTTACTCTCAAGAGTGTCTCTAACTCCGGCTCCTCAGGATAAACACCATGTTCCAACATATGGTTTTCAACATTGAATGCTTTATCGATTTCACCGTTATTACAATACGTCGATAAAGCCGGACCGTAAGACCTTAACCTAGGATTTAACCCCAAAATCTTCATTTGTTTTACCATCTCAAAAGCCATGTCACCATCACACATTGCCATGGCCATTCTAGCCACAGATGTCAATGCTGCTTCATTCATTTCAACTTTATTCATACACATATTCTCATACACTTCAAATCCTCTTTTCAATGCCAAATTCTTAACTTCATCACTCACCAAAACCTCATTCTTGTCACCTAGTTTCTCACTATTACTACGCGAAACCGAAACTGAATTATCTAACACTCTATTATCATCACTATCACTACAAAGTCTGTCATAATCATCATTTCCATTTACTGACGACACTTGAGCAATCAAAGTTCTAGTACCTCTTCCGCTTTTCGCGGACCGAAGAACACCAATAGCTGCAGAAGAACAAAGATACAATAGAACTGTATATTGGTATTGTCCCAATTTGACACCTTGTGATATTGCTGAATCATAAAAGGATAAAGCTCCTTCCAAATCACCTCTCTTAGAACACATATCCAAAGAAACCCGCAATTTATCTTGAGGGCTGTCCTTAATCTTGTTCTTCTTCTTTCCCACCACATTATCATTTTCAATTTTGTTTTTCTCAATGACCCTGTTGAGTGATTTTGATTCTAAAGAAACCTTTTTGTCAGGATGGGATACAGAAGAAGGAGAAGGGGTTTTCTTGGAAAACTTCCTCACGTTGGTGGTTTCAAGTGGTGAATTGCGTGAGGAGCATTGGATTGTGGGTTGTTTTCTTGGGTTGAAATTGAGGGTGGTGATTGAAGGGAAGGAACCGTAAAGGTTGGGTATGAGAGAATGAGAGAAAGAGAGGGAGCGTTGGAGTTGGAGTTGGAGAGTGAGGGGAGAAGTAGCCAATGCCATCACCGTATTATCATGTGTGGCTGCTAACAAGTAACACACCCAAAATCTAATCTTGAAACATGTTCTTTGTGACTTCAGTTGTAAATTTCTGTTCTACTACTACGGTATGTAACAATGTTTTTCAAAATGGATTTTATAGGCCAAGACAACGAATACCAGACCAATTTTTTTTTAGCAATAATTATGTTTGAAAAAAAATATATAAATAATTATATTTTATAGAAAATTACGTAAATAATCATGTTTTAGAATATACATTAATGGAGACGTCATATCACTTGGCGCATGCACTCACATTTTTGTCTTAAGTGTCATCTCACTTGGCGCATGCACTTTCTTTTAGCCATTTGAGATGACGCATGCACCATAATATGGGGAGGAGGTGTCATCTAAGATGGTTATTACCTGCAATTGTGTTTTCTATAAATAAAACACTCATTTATCCATCATTCTTCACACTTTTTCACATTCTCTTCTCATTTTCTCTGTTTTTTGCATCATGATATCTCTCATGATTTTCACCAGAGATGGGTATGTTATTTTCTCTGCCACCAAACCTCGGATGAAAATAAATTTTTGGCACATTCACGAGCGTCTGAAGAGAGAGTTGATGCGATGGTTAGAGGGAGACATCGAAGCTGGAAATCAAATTAGAAGGATTCAGAGAAGAAGAATAGTCACCTCGCTTGCAACTGGAAGACCTCAATCTTGATTGGAGGAAGTCAAAACAAACAGAGACGTAATGGTGATGATGCATGGCTCAGATGAAATTATTTTGACGGTTGTAATTTCTTAGATGTTTTATTGTGTTGTTGATGTTATATTTACATGTTGTATTTTATCGCAATGGTGGTGATGTGTTTTTATTTGTTGTTTGTGTATGGTTTGTTGTAACAAATATTCTTAATGAAAAATAGTTACGTTTAGATCTTAAGAAAGTGCAGATAGTTTGGATACAATTTTTATGTTGTCGAGTTTGTAGCACGAGTGTGACAATTTTTTCGATTGTGTCAGACTTGACAACATAAATCACACTTTCTTTCTAGCTTGTCAAGATAGTCCATTTCAGTTGTGATACGCTTGCTTTTGGGACGACCTTTTTTATTTCTTTGCATTTGATCGTTGTGCCATACTATTTTCCCTTTGTATGCAGGAAAATAATCAAGTTTCGCTACCACTGGAAAGTCATTGTTGTATATGTTGAGCAAGGTTTCGAACTTATAAATGGGAGATATAAGTAGTAATGCATCTTGATGAGTATACGTACATGCCGCAATGACATGAGAGCAATGCATACGAAAGGCTTGAAACTTTCCACAATCACACCAATAAGAATAAGATGGTAGTATAACTCTATACTCTTGTCTTGGCAGCCCCATATTATGGTCGATTGTCTCTTTGACAATGAAGTTATGGCTATGTTGATCGAACCTTATAACAAGATGGGTGTTGGTTGTGACACCTTCTGCCTTAATATATTTCATGTAGCTTTCACTCCATAATTGTCCCGATTGTAAGACCGCATTCCACATTTCACCTCTTTTTGCAAACAACGAAGTCATCCTAAAATATATTGAATTCACCAAAGTAGTTACTGGGAGGTTTCGTATGCCTTTGAATACATCGTTCATTGATTCAATAAGATTTGTTGTCATGTGGCCTCATTGTTGTCCATTGTCGTATGACCTTGTCCATTTCTCCACTAGAATATTATCAATCCACCTACCTGTATCCGGATTTGACAAACTGATATCATTACGGTAGTGTTTGAATGAAGGTTGTGTTAATGCATACCCAGCGTTCATAATTATTTTCCTAAGAGCCTTGTCTTTGATCTCCCTCGTGAAATTGTGTACGACATGTCTAATGCAGTAGACATGCGTAGAAGGAGGGTCATACCAACCATTTGCAGAGTTATTGTATGCACTCTCAATAGATACATGTCTGTCGGAGATCAAGCAGAAACCTGGTTGTGGAGCCACGTGTGTTCGGAGATTCTTGAGAAAGAAACTCCAAGCACCACCAGTCTTTCCCTCGACTAGAGCAAAGGCAATTGGGAAAATGTTGTTTTTGCTATCTTGTGCAACTACCATCAGTAGCGTGCCTTTGTATTTCCCTTATAGCCACGTTCCATCTATCTGAATAATAGGTTTGCAGGACGCAAACCATGTGATGCAATGTTGAAAAGCTCAGAACAGTCGACTGAATATTCCATTTCCATTGACAGAAGTACCATCTGGGGCATAAGCCGACAATGTTTCCATAATATAAACAGTTCCAGGAACATACGTATGAAGTGCATGTAGGTGGTGTGGTAGTTCTTTATATGACTCCTCCTAGTTTCCATATACCTTTTCAATCACCTTGGTCTTTGCTAACCACGTTTTTCTATATGACAGAGTATAATTGTATATTATAGTGATGTGAGAGATTATAGTTTTCACCTTCAATGACGAATCATTGCTGACGAGAGGTAGAATTTTTTGACATATTAGATCATAATTTAGTTTACGATGATCTTGTGATTGAGTAGAATAACGCACGTGTGGGTGGACATAGAACTTATCACCCAACAACCACTTCTCAACTTGTATGATGCAGTGAGCCTGAACATAAAATCTAGGTGAATACACTTGAGCTTGTACCTTTCTGGATTTACCCGGTCTACCTTAAAATCGACAGAGTTTAACATGTGAAACTTTTTTATAACTCGCATACAATCTTCTCTTGAACGAAATTTGTCTTTCTCTTTTAAATTTTCATTTGACTGCATATACGGGTTGGAAAAAACATCTAATGACGGTTCATCTTCGCCCATGTTGAAGTTTGTCATGTGTGAAGGTGGTGTGTAGATTTCATTTGGAGGTATTTCAGGTAGCGCGTCCTCTTCAGAATCATCGTTGACCATGTTTTCAAACTCTAACTCTTCATCTTCCTCTTCTTCATTAACGACATCTACTTCTGCTTGTTCGTCTTCGAGAGGATCAACCACTTGTGATTGCATTGGTTGTGACAACTAAGGCTCCTGCAGCACAGTGTACAACTCAATTGAGTCGTACCCAGAATACTCATGACTAGAAAACATATCTTGAAGATCCTCTTCATCTTGAACCTCAACCTTATAAAATATTATTTGGTTCTCACAAAAAAAATTGGTAGAAGATGTGTGACACTAGACCTTGTTCAAGTTTGAGCTCCAATCGTTTTTTGAAAGACGAAAAATTGGCTTTTCTGTTTAAACAAAATCAGATGTTATCAGTGTTTCTGAATAAAAAACTAGAGACATCATAATTATATGTCTCTCCATTGAAATGTCCACTGATAACATATTGTGTTGCATAGGACATTGTATTTGCGTGTTTGAGTGTTTGAATATGTGAGAATTTGTTTGAGTGGTGATAACATAAAGTGCATGCAGGAGAATAAATAACGTGCAAATGAGATGAACAAGATAAATTTGATCTACTAATAAGGCGTCAATTGGGATAGAGAATCCTCATATAATTAGCCTAAGGCGCCAACTGGGATGGCGCATCCCTTATAGGCCTGTCACGTAGCATGCATGCCTTCCACCTACATTACGCCTGCCACCTACACCTGCACCTATGATATCACCCATGATGCCACCCTAAGCCTGGTCCACGCCACTTTGAATGGTGCATGCACTATAAAGTGCATGGAGGCGCCAACCCACTTGGCGCATTAGTGACATGTGTTCTGCATTCATAGAACCCCCAACCACCTCATTAACTCATCTATATACAAATTCATCTATAAATATGGCGCCTCAGACACTTGTTTTGCATCACCAATCCTCACTCGCTTTGATACAAACTCTTTTACTGTCTTATACAATTTCAAATATAGTTCTTCTCACAATGGACGATTCTCACAGAGGAACAAGATAAAACATTGTCGCGTTTGTAAGTTTTTATCATTTTATATATTCTTTTATCGTATATATAAATTTTATAAATTAATTATTTTAGACATTTTATAAACTCTTACACTGTTTACATTTTGAATTTAGGATACTAAAAGATTTAGATTCCGCTCACACAACTACATTGCTCCGGACCCGTTTATCATCTCTAGAATATGTCGATTTTGGAAATTTTATAAAAATCTCTAACTGCACGATTGATTCCAAATTTATTCTTGTAATGTTGGAAAGGTGGAGACCCGAGACACACACCTTTCGTCTACCAATAGGTGAATGTAGCGTCACACTAGAGGACGTGTACATGTTATTGGGTCTCCCTATCGATAGTAAGGGAGTGAATGGGTCGGTTCAACAACCCAATTCTCTATGCGATGAATTGTTGGGCAAAGATATGATAGAAGCAACTGGTGCTAGGGGCCAAGGTATATTACTAACCGTACTTAAAAAGAATTATGAGACTCTTGAGTTAAATGAAAATTCGACCGACGAGGCAAAAATAATTAAAGCTAGAAATTATATTATGATACCATTTAGAAGTCTTTTATTTACCGAAAGTACATGAAATAGTGTAAATTTTATGTATTTAAGTTTGCTTAGGAACTTTGATAAAATAAGAAATTATAGTTGGGGTTCCGCTGTTTTAGCCCAACTATACAGTTCATTATTGTAAAAATGCAACAAACGCAAATGTACTTTTTATGGATGCGCTTTCTTGCTCCAAGCATGGAGTTGGTGGAGAATGGAGTCCCTAAACCTCATCAACAACAATGCATTCATTTTCTTCTAGGCAACAAAGTAAGTCAATAGCTTAAATAATTTATTATTCATCCTTTCGCCAAATAGATGTATAAAATTAATTATTTTTTCATTCCTTTAGGTACTGCTTAAAGGGTATGGATTACAACAAGAATCCAAGATTCAATGTCGTTCTATATCATAATATTTTTGATCACTTTGGCTTGGATGATGTACGTGATACCTCTAAATTTTTCTACTTTTAAATTATTTATTTTTAACGCTTTCAGTATTCTGATTAATTTTTATCCATAGTTTATCTGGAGACCATATTTAGATTTGGACCATGAACCCAACCTCGAGGATGCAGTAGTTTAAACTGTAAAGACTGTAATCATGCGGTTCAACATTGTGGAGATGCACCACATCAATCATGTTAAGATGCAGATCGAAATGCATCAAGAAATATCATACGATCCAACTTCTTTGTCACCTTGACATCTCAAAAGGTCTGACACCTAATGGGGTGTTAATAATTGAAAAGATTTCACTTCGGAATGGTGTAAGATGTGGCGTAGGCGTCACAATATGTCTTACAATTTCCTTTTTTCTTCAACCAGATTAATATGCGACACACAAATCAGTATATTGATTGGTACAAATCGGTTACTAACCCTGAAATGCACGTGTCTCACCCGAGATATTTGATCGATCCACACACACAATGGGTACAATCATACACCACACAACAACAACCTCAACAACAAACCCAACACGCATTAACCTCCCACCAAACACAACGACGATATAGATCCACCAGCACCCAACCCCAAACCTAAGACCAATACCAATACACACATACCCCGCACACAATTACAGTACCAAGAACAACGACCATACATTCGACATCCTGATGTGGACCCCTCGTCGCCTCAAATTAGCCCATACATTGGCCAACCTGAAGAATATTCACCAACCAACCCAACTTACCATCAACCATCCTATCACCCTAGCACCCAACAATCACAGTACCAAACCTTACAAGATTCATTTCCTTTTCACCCCCTTATTCATACGACCAGTGCTATTGACTCCCATGGAACCACGCTCCCAACCAATACGACCAAACTTTGAGGGCATGGGTAACCGACTGTTTGAAAGCGGATCTTTCAGATATGGTGATCTGACGACTTTCATAGATTCTGAACGCATTGACTCCGCAGGGCCCTCGACCCAACTGCAACAGAAAATACGTCGAAACGCACCACGAGTTAGGCGAGAACGCGGGTGCAGAACTACGAATCGTTATCGAGTCCCTGGAGACAACTAAATAATATACAATTTTTATTCTCATTATGTAGTTATTTAATTATTATTGAAAATCAACTTTCATTTACAACGACATTGCCTTTTAATTCTTTAACAAAAAAATAAAAAATAAAGAACTTTGTACCTAGGTGTCATCTGAGATGGCTTAGGGCAAATGGCATGCACCTAGACGCCATCTCACTTGACGTCTCCTTTAAAAAAAGCAATGCATGCGCCATCTGAGATGGTTACTGCATTATGACATTTTCTGAAACATGATTATTTGCGTAATTTTTTTCGAAACATGATTATTTGTGTATTTTTTTTCAAAACATGGTTATTATTAAAAAAAAATCACCAAACTCATCCAACAAATTTTTTTTTTTGATTTTGATTTTATGAAAGCAATAAATATCGGATCAATTTGTAATAGATTAAAAAAAGGTTTTTTTTGTATTTTTGAAAATAGCTTTTATTAATTTTTTTAAAAATAAAAACAATTTTAAATTTATTTTTTATAAAATAAAACTTTTTATTTTAATATTTAATAATGTAAATATTTATTATTAAAAACCTTAACATAATCAAAATAGCTTAAGAATTTTAAAAGTAATTATATAGGTAACTATTCAAAATGACTTTAAATTTTAGGAATTTTTTAAAATTTTAATATTATCAAAACCATATGATAAATATTTAAATAATATTTTATGAAAAATTATTTAAATTATTTTTTCTTTTTTAATTTTTTTAAAAAATTTCCTTGTAATTTATCAAACAAAAAAATATAATATCAAAAAATATTTTTAAAAAGCTAAAAAATTATGTGAAATATTGGTTAAAATATTTTTTATTATAATTTTTATGAATATTTTAGATTAAAAAAACTATTTCGGTTGACTAAATTTATTTTTAAAAGATCACTTAAAATTGTTTTTTAATTTTTGTTTTGGTTACATAAAAAAATGATGAAGAGTAGTACTTCTTTATAATAGCTCGGTCACATGCTATAACATGTATTATCTCACATTCACTCTTCCAAACTACATATTTTTGACTTTGATGATTTGATCGTTAGAATGCTAACTATGTAAATCCAGCTCACCCATTCGATCGAAAACTCTCAATGTCGCATCAGATGAGTTTATTTTCTCTATGTCTTCTATATCTAGTTCCAATATGGAACAATGACCCCGTCTGGAAAATCAACTTTGATTCTCACGAACTTTCACATTGAATGCATTTTATTTAGAAAGTCAAAATCAATAATTAACTCTACCCCATCATTCAAAGACTGTATTGGGCTTTGAAGTGCTAAACATGGAGTGTGCAACTGCACTAGAGCAACGTGTATCATCGCGCAATTGCACTAGAGCAACATGCATCACTACCTCGAAGACCAACCCTAATAATTATGATTCTAATGGAACATATTTAATATTCTAAATTATCAAAACTAAATAACAAAATACATAATTAAATAAACGGGGAGAGTTTGGGGGCAAATTCAAGTAAGATACTAGTGTCCCCATTACCCGACTCAACAATATATTTTGTAATCGGAGAAAACCCAAACTCAAATTCAAATCCTGTCGAAACGAGTTTTTCTTATCAAACTTGGGGCAAATACAGGTTATGTTGTCATGCCTAAGCCAAAGACCTATCCATCAAACTCAAGATGATAGGGAGGAGCGGCTCAAGTAATACAATCCTTGAGAAACTGTTCCGGATCGGTCAAAGGCCCAATAAAGCAGGCTCAATTACGAGGGGACCAGCCCGAAGTGTGATCCTGTGAAACTAGCCACACGAGGAACCTCATGAAAGAGTCGGACACTTGATCCTAGCTACTCATACATTGACTAGCGTTGAATCTAATAAGACGATTTCCCGCATCACACGGATTAGACTGTGTCACTCTCCAGTTGTAACACATGAGACAGATGGCACAAATATGTGAAAAAACAAAATATGAAATAGAACAAGTTAAGATGCTAAATGAGTGCCCGAAATTTACAAATTGTTCAAAACCATTCAGCTAATACAAGACTATATAAAAAAAATACTCCTAGATAGACTCTACAGCGTGGACTTGTAACAAGTGACCCAATATGTAGAAATAATAGAGTAGACATCAATTGCAGGTATGGGATAACTGTAAAAGAAAACCTGCAGGTATCAGTTCAACACACCTCAAAGTAACAACTATATCCTTCACATTCCACCTGAGTTGAGCAAAGAGGAAGAGCCTTTACCTTGACAACAATTTCACACTAGAATATCATATCTGGTTTGATAATGCATTACTAGTTAAAAAAACATATTCAGAAATAGGAAAGCAAAAATAAATAAAATTCTAGAAAGTTATCAGTATAAAATGAATCAACTCAATGAGTAAGCAACATCAGTTGCATTGCATGTCTCTCTAAAATATCAGATGAAGAATCCTATGTCAAAAGGCCTCAAGATTACATAGAAATGAAAAGCGTAAACATGAGCCACAGTCTTCCATTAAATGGAAATGCTACCAGAATCAGCCAACAGCCAATCAACACTGTCATAAAGGCATGGAAATACCTGTAAAATACACAAACAAAAGCATTGTGATAAGTTATTTCCTTTCAGCTATTATAATTGGTACCTCAATTTAGATACAAAATGTGCTATGGGCAATTATCTTATCTTACCAACTATGTGCTAAAAAAACTCTTGATAAATATATGGTGTCACAAACTCACAGTATTTACATAAAAGCACCTAAGAAGCTCGGACACTTCTAAAAGTAGGCGTGTCGTGGTGTCCGACACTTGTATGACACTCATACGACACGTGCTAGAAAAAGTAAAGAAGTGTCAAAAAAAAGTCGGACAAATATCCACTAAGAAATGGTTTTTTTCTTTACTTCAACAATTTTTTAATCAATGGGTGACACCCGTATAACACTCATAACACATGTCAGACGATTCAGACAAGTGTTTCAAACAAAAACTTGTTTTTTTCTTTGTTTCAACACACCTTTATACATTTTTTGGACAAATTTTACACACATCTAAACTGGTTAAACATGTATTAGATCAATGTTTTTAATAAAAAAATAAATGTATTAATTTTGACTAGAATATTTACAACTTTTTAAATCATAAATAGATAAGTGAAGATCAAATACTATCTTATATGTAGCGGTGTCGGTGTCCTATGTTTTTGACATTATCCGTGTCGTGTTGTGTCCGTGTCGGAGTCTGTGCTTTATAGAAAGGCACTAATGCTGGCAAGTTTTGTAGTTCTTACGGTTACAACAATGAACAATTGTGATAGAGAGAATATGGATAACTAACTAGAATGAGTGCACTTTTGGAAATACTGAAAATGATTTTTTATATTATCTAAATTTTAGGAAATACTGGATCTGTCAGTGTCATCTAGTATGGATATTCAAAAATGTGTAAAATGAATTCTTCAATGCTGAATATTTTCAATGAAAGTGAAAACAGAAACTAAGTGAAGCAAACAGTCCTTAATATATTTGATTTTGTTGTGTTAGAATACACAATTTTATGACATTACTAAAAAATGTTTATTTTTGGCATTTTGCAGCATTAAGTATGCTAGACAACACTCCTCCTATGGAGTCACTTCAGCAAAACATTAAAATAATGCCGAATCATTTCTTACAAAAATTTTTAGTCACAATGCAACTATCAGAGTTATTCACAACTCCTCACTAACTGTTTGGGTTTGACCTATCCCACAATAACATAGGGATAAAGGTATCATATGAACGATGACAGGTTAGTTTCAGCTTTAACATAAGATCAAAGGCCTCAAAACTTCAAAAGCAACGGGTCAAACAGAAATGATATGAACACTCTACTATCCCTTTGTTCCAGGCTTTAGTATGTCATTTTCTTCCTAAAAACAGGGAATATATTCTTCTTCATCCTAAGTAAATACTATCTGTCACAAACATAAATACCTCAGATATTCATGTTCTGATCATAAGAGAAGTTATTAAGAAAAATCTCGAGATTATAGAACATTAAGGCAAAAGTTGATCCATGTAATCGACCCCACTTAGTGGATAGAGCTTGGTTGTTGTGGTGTATTCGATTTCTGATCATATGGGAAAGGCATGTTCCGTAAAATCTTAAATACAACTAAGCCCAAACTATACTCCTGCCTCTCACCAACATAAAATTAATGGCACATTCATACAACAATGTCGTCAATGGCAGATGGCAGAAGGCCAAAAAATCACAATATAAACACACCATTGTGAAGTTATTTCTATGTAGCACTGACATCTTTGAAAAGTGTGTGTCGGTGTCTGAAACCTCAACACTTGTAATTACGTGTAATTTATTCATTTTTTTCAAGTTATTATCGGTGTCAACGTGTCAGTGTGATATTGTCATTCATTTCATCATCAACATGCAAACATTTAAAGCTAATAGACATGAAAATTGAATAAAAGAGAAAGGAAAAAAAAAACGCACCTTGAGGAACTAAACCCCAAGCAAGAGACTCAATGGACAAGCTCGAAACTAATCGAGCAGAAGCAACAGCGCTATACAACGGCAACATTGATTCCAAGCTACCCAACTCCACCGGTAACCTAATAAACCAAATTGAAGAAAAATCATGATAAGTTAATTTAGGTTATTGAAAATGAGGGGTTTTAGGTTAAAGAGAAAGGGGATTCATACCGTGAAGCGAGAGAGAGGCGTGGAGATTGAAGTTTGGGTTTGAGATGAGAGAGTGGTGATGGTTTTGTGGTAAAGTTGTTGTTGTTAAGGAGAGAGTGTAATCGAGACGATAACCTACAGAAAGCCTTTGACGACGATGTTGCCATTGTAATTGTTCAGCTCTGCTTCAAAGTGGGACTCTTTCAGTGTGAGTTTTTCTTTTTTTTTTTTTGGTTTTGAAGAAATCAAAATATATTAAACAAAAGAAAAGGATTACAAGAAACACAATAGGTAGGGCTATCCATGGTAACTGAACCATAAAAACCAAACCATATTTTTGGTTATGGTTTAGAACCAAATCATTATTTTAGGAAACTAGTTCATATTTTATAAATTGAATTTAAATCGGTTTGGATCTGGTTCACAACCGGTTTTAATTAAAATTAAAATTTTAGTCGAACAACAATAAAATCACAAACAAGTTCATGTTTTGTGAACACAACACCATAGTTTTTGTGAGCATCGTTAATTGTTGTCAGTTCCGAGAACAACACTGATAAGTACTTCTTTGAATATTGTCAGTTTTGAGAACACCACCATATTGAGTGTCGTCATTGAATATAAGCCGGTGTAAAGAATACCCTAAGCTATATTTTTGAGGTCCATCATTAAATCTTGTTGTCACCGGTTCTATGAATGCTACACAACTCGAGTAATTACATAGACACATTGAACAAACTATTCATGCAAAGAATTCACAAAAACAATTGAGAAACACATTGAAATCAATTCACTTAAAACCATTGAAAAACACAGTAAATTATCGAGATTTGGAAAGAATTGCGGTGTTTGCAATCATTAAAAAACAATTGAAAAATGTGACTGAATCAAACAGAAACTGGTTTGTAAATTCATTCTCGAAATGAAGATAAATGAAACTTGCATTGTTGCTTGAGTGAAGGAGATATAACTGGTTTGTAAACAAATTGACAGTATGGTAACCAGTTCATTGCTTTTTGGCATAATTGGATACAATTTGATTTTTTTCATATATGGCTTGGACTTTTATAAATGGTACGGTTTGGTTTTGGACCAGTTAAGGAAAACCAAATTTTTTGAACACCCCTAATAATAGGGGACCAAACCAAAATCTACCAAACCAAAATCTCTACTAAGGTACCATGCTTGTCTAATAACTAATCCGATAAAATATGATTATAAATAAAATTATAACATTTGAACGTGTTGCTCTTTAAGCCGATATTAGCTAAGAAATCTGCATAAAAATTGACTTCTTTATATATAGAATTTTTTTCGGAATAACCAAGTATTAAAAAAAAATCACAAATAACCATGTTTCGGAAAAAATTACGCAAATAACCATGTTTTAGAAGACTCCCCAAGGGAGGAGTCATCTCACTTGGCGCCTACACCTACTTTTTAAGGGGAGACGCCATCTCACTTGGCGCCTAGGTGCTTAGGACTTGTCCTAAGCCAAGTAAGATGACACCTTAGTGCATTTGCTAGGGAAATTTTTGCATTTTTTTCAATGCGGTGCGTTACGTATTCGATATAGGATCAACAAAATTGACTTTTTATTTATAAAATATGATTACACACATAACTATTACATTAAAAAAAGATTAATCATCCCCCAGAACCCGGTAATGACCCCCGGTTCCGCATCCCCGTCCTCGCCTTTCCCGTGTTGGGTTTCGTCGCGTTTCCTGCTGTGGCGGGGTCGATGGCCCAGCAAAGTCAATGCGCTCCGGATCCATGAAATCAGTAAGATCTCCATATCTAGAAGATCCTCTTTGGTACAGTCGGTTACCCATACCCTCAAAGTTTGGTCATGTTGGCGGTGGATGGGGTTCCATGGTTGGTATGTAGCACTGGTCGTCTGAGTACGGAAGGTAGAAAGGAAATGGATCTTGGGGTGTTTGGTATTGAGGATGTTGGGTGGTTTGGTGATATTGTGGTTGATGGTAAGTTGGATCGGTTGGTTCATAATCTTCAGACAATCCCAGATCAGGGCTAAGGTTGGATGTTGAGGGGCCCATATTGGGATATGCAGAAGACTGAAATTATGTGTGGGGTATGCGGGTGTATTGGTATTGTGATTGAAATTATGGTTGGGTGTGAGGCATATGGGGGTATTGGTACTGAGGTGGTGATTGTGGTTGGTTGTGGGGCATGTGAGTGTAATTGTATTGTAGTGGTGATTGTGGTTGGGTGTTTGTGGTTCTGTTTCATCTGGGGGGTTGGTGGGAGGTTGATGTGTGTCGGGTTTGTTGTTGGGGAAATGAGGGTTGTGCCTATTGTGTTCGTGGATCAACCAAATACCTTGGATGAGACACGTGCATTTCATGGGTGCTAACCGATATGTGCCAAGATAAAGACTGATCCGTGTGTCGCATATTACCATGGTTAAGGAAAACTGGGAATTGCAAGACATGTCGGTGACGTCTCTGCCACATCTTACACCATTCTGGAGCAAAGTCTTTCTAGTTGGTAAGACCCCGTTGGGCGTCGACCCTTTTGAGATGCCACAAGGACAAATAAGTCGGATCGCTGGGTGTTGTACCCCAAAATTTGTCCTCCCATATTTCTCAAAACATTTCAAGAAAAATTCACAAGTCCAATCCGGCGCGTCATATTCAGGTGTTCTTTCACCAAGATATCTCTGATAACGTATTCTCAAATTCAGGTTCGGCTCAAGAGTCAATTCTTTAAAGAAGGTATCAGAATATGCGAGTTTTCTTGAAGAAATATGGTGAAAAAGTGTGCTGAAAGTGCAGTTTTTACGCGCTAAAAAATTCATAACTTGAAGATCGCGACTCGTTTTGAACCCGTTCCGGTGGACAAAATTCCGTCTTGACATTATCTACATTTTCATCTCTCACGGCTGGAAGCCAATTTCGATCAGAAGGTCTTCAAAAATATGGATTTATCAAGTATTTTCATACAGAAAATTTGTGACAGAAGTTTATTTGCGTCATGTTCAGAAAATCATAACTTGGTCGATTTTCATCGTATCGAGCTGGTTCCGGTGCCAAAATTTCACAAATTGAGTTGGCTACATTTTCACAGAAGGTATTGAGTTCAAACGGTATTCAAAAGGCCTTCGTTTTTTGCTCAGAGTGCATGACACGCTGAAAATCCTGAATGCTGAATATTATTTCATCTGGGCCGAAACTTCGAAAATTCATAACTCGGTCAATTTTTATCGGATTGGACTCATATTTTTACACAAGATCACTGACTCATAGATCTACAACTTTGCTTCAAAAGTCGAGACCGGATTATACTCCGATCAATACCAGTTTTTTATTGAAGAACGTGTCAGAGTCGACACTGGAGCCCAAAATAAGTTTGTCTGAGCTGAAACTTCAAAAATTCATAACTAATTCACCGTTTATCCGATTGAGCCGATTTTCGGACAGGAGTTAGTTATCAATGTCGGCTACATTTTGTTTTCACATTTCAACTTCAAAAATTGCACTTAAGTTCCTGCGATTTAGCCTGGAAAGTGACGAACTCAAGTGAACATTGGAGGCCCAATTGCACATTCAAAGCCCATTTTCTTTACCCTAATTTCCATTATATAATCACCTTCTTTTCACACAAACTAGAGGAGGAGAAAGAGAGAAAAAAAATCTTGCCACAACACTGTTAGAATATCAAATTCTTTCAAGAACCCTAAAACCTTGAAATCCTTATTACAAATCCCTCTCTCACTACAAACAAGCCATTACAGTTACAAACCTACACCTCACTACTTCTTCAGTAAGGGTAAGGCTGGCTTGATCTCCATGATCAAAAGGGCATAAAAGCATTCATGTCACTCCTTTTCCAGTAAGGGTAAGATTGATTTGATCTCCATGATCAAAAGGGTATAATCATTCATACATGCCATATTGTGCCTAAACATTAAATTTCTTCATATATTGGCTTTATTTGCATTTTATGATTTTATTTAATGTGTTCATGAGATTCAACACTGCAGATTTAGACAGGATCCCATGCAGGTTCATTAAGGAACGTTGAAGCCAAAACACAAATGGCCAAAAGCCAAAAGCCAAATGGCCAAAAGAACAACTTATGCATGACACCAATACATGGCGAGACAAACATCCTGAGAAGATTAAGGAACGTTGAGGCCAGAACACAAATGGCCAACAGCCAGAACACAAATGGCCATGAAACCCAATCCAATGGCCAAAGAATGCAGACCACGGTACTCAGGAGTCAATGAACACGCACGTGATGCCAGAAAGTCAAACAAGGCTTTTTGTCTAATGAGCCAGAATTCCTCAAGTCATACCTCCCTTTGGGTCTGAATACCCCCATGGTTTGCACATTTTTTTATTTTTATTTGATTTTCTTTCTTAATTCTTTTAGTTGTTTTTAATTATTTTCTTTAATTTACCAAAAATAATTTTCACAATAAACAAATCAGATACAAAAAAAATTAAAATATGTTTAATTATATTTAATTTCTATTAATTTATTTTGTAAATAAATGTTAAATAATTAACTAGTTAATTTAGGTTTTAAAACTTTAATCTTTTTCTCAATAAATTAAAATATGTAGAAATTAGGTTTTTTAACTTTTTATCACTTTTCTTAATAAATAATTTTTTCTTATTATCATTATTATTAATTACTAATTTATTTTGTAAATAAACATGTAAATAAATTAATTAACTAGTAAATTAGGTTAACTTTAATATTTTCATTAATAATTAAAATAATCTAGATTTAGGGTTTCCTTTTAATTCTTTTTCTTTATTTTTCATAAATACAAAAAACACTAAAACACTTTCTTTTCTTTAATTAAATAATTAATTGGACTTTAATTTAATTTAATTTAATTGCAAAAGGGTCCAACGCCCTCGAACGTTCTATTTTTTATTCTTTTCGCGCATTAATTCTTATTTTCCTTTGTGAATATTATGTAATTGTTCAAGCCATGTAATAGTCATTAGGAATTTATTTATTTTCTGCATTTTTTTACCAAACGGGTCTTTGTTAATTTGGCGATGTATAGACCCGCGCCTTGTAATAGCGTAGGATTTATCTTTCCGCATTTAATTTTCCGCACTCTTAACTGCTAAACTTTGCATGAAAGAATGAATGGCCAAATTAAAAACAAGCGTAGCTCACC